TCCAAAAAACAAAACAATAATAAATTGGTCATTTTCAATCTACGACTGTTTGTGGGACATTGCTGTGCGCAATTGGCTGCCGCGTTCGCCCACAAATATACAGTCAATTCACTTTACTGTGTGTTCTGTGAAGCGCTTTGGGACGTCCTCCTGACGTGAAAAGCGCTATATCAAATGCAAGGATTATTATTATTATTGTTCTGATCTGGAATGCATTGCCCGAAAGGCTGGTGGAAGCCGATTCGATAAGAGAGAAGTAGATAATTACTTGGGGAGGACACATTTGCAGGGCTATGGGGAGAGCGCGGGGGAATGGGATTGAATTGGACATCTCGTTTCAAAGAGCCGGCACAGACTCGATGGGCCGATTGGCCTCCTTCTGCGCTCTACGATTCTACGAGTGTATGTGTCTCTCTCTCTGAGAATGTGTCCCTGACCGTGTGCGTCTCTCTCAGTGCCTGTGAGTGCGTGTACGTTGTCTCTCACTCTGGGTCTCTGTGTCGTGGCAGGCTCTGAGCGGCAGGAGGCGGTGAGCTCCTGCAGCAATCCGACATGTATTACATCTTCATGTTTCGTTTTTAATCAATAAAGCGAAAAAAAAATCAGGAGGTTGGCCAGTAAAATGCACCTCAACAGCACCAATCAAAAGCCCGGCAATCTTGTCAAAAGTTTCCCCCCAATTTTCGGCAAATATTTCAGCAATTTTCTACGGGACGTTAACCTCACAAATGAACTGTTTAAACAGTGTGAGCATTATCTTATCAACACCCTGAGCTTAATCAACTTTTGTCATTGATTACGTGAAAAGCACTTGCCTTGCAGAGCTCTGATGATGTGTCAACGTGGCTCAGTCAGTGGCATTTGTGTTTGCGGTTCAAGACGGTGGGGGTTCAAGCCCTGTTTTTTGGGGCTTTGAGCTCACAGTCCAGGCTGCTTGCCCAGGGGAGCAGGGAGTACTGCCTTTTCAGTAGGTGGTTGTCCATTCAAATGAGCTCTTAAACCGTGAAGAGAAGTCAGGGCGAACTGGCAAACGATCCTCGAGGTGAATTGGCAATTTATTTCACTTGGCCAATGTTTGGAGGGACCTTGCTGAATGCGGATGGGCTGCCTCGCTTCGCCCACAAACTCCACAGGACGACAACGCCCCTGGAAATGTACATTCTCAATCGCCTCGTGTAGACAAGACACAGTTTAACGTCTCGTTCGAAGCCCGTCACCTCTCACAACGCGGCTCTCCTCACCCCCCAGCACTGCAGTGTCAGAACTGCGCGTCATCTCAAAGGCCTGATTCGAGCGCCTGGATTTCCACCACAACCTGATCCCAGATCAACGACAACTTAAGTTGTTTGCACAGCGCCTTTCGTGTCGGGAGGACGTCCCAAGGCGCTGGACAATCAGGGATTTGGACCCGAGCTGGGGGTTGGGATCAGGAGGGGTGTAGGATGGGGGGGGGCCTTAAGGATTTTCCGCAATTCTTCCCGATCTTAAAACGTTAAGTCAAAATGGAGTTACTGGCTACAATTAGGCGGAATTTCAGGTTCCTGACATTGGCTGAGGTGAAAGGGCCAGAGTAGGGAAGGGGTGGGGGAAATGTAAGTTGCCAGCAGAATTTTCTGGGTGGGGGGGGGTCTATTTTAATCCTCTGAAGTTACCTGTCCTTGTTTGATTTTGCCGAGTGACACAAATTCACAAGTCTAAATTGCGGTATTTCTTAACAGAATTCCTCAATAAGGTTTAAGTCGCTCACCGATTTCAGGGGGGGGGGGGGGGGAAACAGCAGCCAATTCCCAGAGACCTTAACTTTTCTGTGGGTGGGGGCGGAATTCAAACCACACGCATCGAAGAGAGGAAACAGCCTTTTGGTTTTTAAAAAGTTTTTTATTTTACGCTTAATTGTCACTAAAGATGAGCTTCACAAGAAACTCAGGGCAGACGTTATTTACATTTTAAAAAACATAACACAGGCTCCACATCTGTCGTGACACACACACACACACACACACACAAACACACGTTGTCGAGTCAGTCTTCATCTCCAGATTACCTCTTTATTTCTAACCCCTCGTTCTCCGCACAGAATAATAATAATAAAATCCAGGTGAAAAAAACAAACCCTAAAACCTCATGTGCTAATTATCACATGGAATTTCTGTTATTAAATGTTGTGTTTAGCCCCCTCCCACTCACACTAAGAATATTGGGTGAAAATGCGATGCGTGATGGGTTAATTAACACATCACAGGTCACCCCCCCCCGCACACCTTACCCTTTCTATGGATTATACGTTAGTATTTAATACTTATTTGGATAATAATTTCATGTTCATTCACATTTTCAGTTCTAAGAAGAGACTTGAGAGGTTGTGGCTTTCCGGGGGGGGGTGTGGGGGGTGGGAGGGAGAGGGCGAGGAGGGTTGTGGTGGGGGGGGGGGGAGAAAATGCTAAGATTAGCATATCAATATATTGGTAATTGAGAATTTTTTTTTGCTGTTAGAAACAAAGAGGTGGGTTTCGAGATAAACCCAAAGCAACTTAAAGGGGAGGTGACAAGTCAACACACAGAGTGGCGGTCGGGGTGGGGGGGGGAGGGGGCAGGGGAGAAAGAGCCCTGCGGACTGTGTGAGAGGAGAAGGTTGGGTTAAGCTGGAGATGGAGAGAGAGAGAGACCCTGTTGTACACAGAGCGAGACAGACACTGACAGACATGACAACCCCACACGGTGACACCGGTTTGGGGGGGTGGGGGGGGGGCTGAGGGTTTGACACAAACGGCGAAGGGCAAAGGGGGCGACTGCATTTTTGAGACACAGAGAGAGAAAAAAAGACATTCATTCTCGACCAAATTTTTGCGAAAGACACGTTGACTTGTCAAAAGGCCACAGAGGTGGGGATGTGGGGTTGGGGGGGTGGGTGGGTGGGGGGGAAAGGAGGGGGAAATCAGGGAAAAAGTGGGAAAATAATCATTTAATCCAGGACAAAGTGCTTGAAAAATACCAAAATCATCCATACAACGTTCACGCACCCGGACACAATCGCTGACCAGGCAGGTCAGGTCCCTGCAGAAGGTCTCATTGGTTTCAGACGTTGAGAGACAGACACTCATTGACATTCACACTGGAGACACACCGTCCATCCCATAATACGCACGCAATCCGTTCAAATTCCCCCTCCCTCCCCCCCACAAAGAAAATGACTATAAAGATGATTCACTGATTAAGGCTCAAAATTAAGCCTTAAGTCTCAGTCTGTGAACCCTTTGTTTTCGAGCGGGAGACGGGCGGAAAGTTCAAACGATCTGACCCAGGGAGGCACTTGTTTTTACCCCATGTGCCCCCGCATCTCACTCCCCCTACCCCCCCACCCCCCCACCCCCCGCCCCTGAAAAAAAAAGGGCAAAAAACCAGTTCCAAACAATTCGCGCTACAATTAAGAACTTTCTGCGAACGGGGAACAGTGGCCAATATATCTGACGGGTACAGCGCGAGTTGAAGAAGTTGCGGAACAGGGCACAGAGGGAGACCTTGTCCTGAAATCCCACACGGTAATGAAACCCCGGTAATTAAAACTGGGAAGTTGTTGTTGGTGGTGGTGGTGGTGGTTGGGGTGGTAAACAACAACAACGACGACGACATACACTTACACAGCGCTCCTCACCCAGGGAAGAAATCGCTTAACTAATAAGGTTTAGGAAATGTCGACACTGGATTTTAAGTCCGTTTAAATAAAAAAAAGGAATGTAAAAATGGGAATTTTTTTGCCACACCGGGAATTGTAACGTGTACCCGCTGGGACTCACTGGCCACACGGTTTAGTTACAAACCCCCCCAAACCCCCCATCCATCACCTCACCCGGTGTCCCCAACACACACACAGCAAACACATACACACACACAGTGTGTTTACTGCAAATAACACCCGCTGCCCCATACAGATAAAGGCTGACTCTCTCCTAAAAGCTTTCTGTTTGCAATGCACTTCTGACCGCAACATTGAGCCCGAAATATCTGTGTCCGTCCATCCACACCCACCCCCCCCACACCCCCGCCCGCCCCAAACACATCAAGTGCTGTACTGTACAAAATAAGGTTATTTCTGTTCATATTTTAAGCGATTAAAGATACTCGGCAAAAGAACCAGAGGGGAGACAAGGAGGTGATTTTGCTTTAAAAATCCGGGAGCGTGGTTACGGTCTGGAACGCACGGGGTGTGGGTTGGTTTGGAAGCAGATTCGGTAGTAGCTTTCGAAAGGGAATCGGATAGGGGCTTAAAGGGGGGGGGGGGGAAATCGTAGGGCTTTGGGGCTATAGAGCAGGGGAGCGTGACTAGTTGGTAGCTCTATCAAAGAGCTGGCACAAGGCAGGATGGTCCAAATGGCCTCCTTTTGCGCTGCAAGATTCTAGGATAATATAGTCTATAAATATATACACACACACACTATTGGTCAAAGCGCGCGAAACAAGAATGTTGTCAATGACCCCCTTCTGTTTGTACAATATATAATAGTGCCCGGGACAAGTTCTGTAAAATATTTACATTAATCTTTAAAAATCGACGGCTCTCTAATAATTTACTGGACTATTAACACTATAAAACAACAGGTTGGCGTCATATAAATATCTTTTATAATCTATACACTGAAAGCAGAAAATATATCTTTTTTTTGTTGGTTGGTTTTAAAATATTTTTAAAAATCAATGAATTCAGTCGCAACAACAACAAAAAATTGCCCACCCCCCCCCCACCCCACCCCCTCCTCCCCCCACTCACTCATCCACTCACTCGTCCACCCACTCGCACACAATTGATGTATCCAAAGAGTTAGAAGATCATCAGTAACATATTTTGACCACAAAATGATGGGGAAACACCCAGGAGTTAGTTTTGACATATTTGTGGGTGGGGGGGAAGGAATGTTTGGGGGGGGGGGGGAGGGGGAGTTCTGATGATTTCAGTGGTCCATCTCTTTAAGATGGTTGTTTATATCAGTAGTGTATTGGGGTGGGGGGGTGGTGGGGGGGAGCGCGGGGGAGATTGAGGAGCAGTGCGTGACGAATGTCCAGCTGGCTGGTGGTTTGGCTAAACCTGGGAATCGGCTCCCAGGCTATTCATCTCCTCGGGGGCCATCTTCTCGGGCGAGTTGCCTGCCCCACCCTGGCGGAAACCCAAGGCGATCTCATCAAATGTCCTGCCCTTCGTCTCCGGCACTTTGAAGTAGGTGAAAATGAAGAAGATCAGGAGCAGAACCGTGAAGATGATGAAGACGTAGGGCCCACACACCATCTGCCGGGGGGGGAGAGAGAGAGCAATGAGAGGGAATCAATCAATAGAGAGAGAGAGAGATCAACAGACGGCAAAAAATGAGTCGAGGAATAAATCAATCAATTGAGAAATCAATAGAAAATCCAATAAAGCAATCAATAGACAAAGAAATCAATAAATAGGAAAATAAATGAATGGATCAATAGAAATCAATAGATACAGTTATCGATAGAAAAGCAGAGAAATATGAATCAATCTCTAAACAGACAGATCGATCGATGGATAAACAGACCGCCGAGGCCGGAGCTGGACACGGAGCGGGTGGGGAACTGTACCTCGATGTACTGGAAGCCCATCCCCACTATGAAGTTGGCCGTCCAGTTGGAGAGGCCGGCTACGGCGATGGCTGATGGCCGAGGGCCTTGGCTAAAGAGTTCAGCCACGATAAACCAGGGGATGGGCCCTGGCCCGATCTCGAAGAACGCCACAAAGCCGAAGATAGCAATGATACTCAGGTAACTCATCCACGACTGCTGGTCCTGTGTGGGAGAAAGCGGGAAAGGTTACCCACCATTTACGCCCGGGAATCAACTGGGAGAGAATCTCAGTGGAGAAATCAATCGATAAATAGAGAAACTCATCAATAATTAGAGAGAACTCGCGCTCTCGCCTCTGCCACTCGCACCCCCATGTCAGGCACTTTTGAGTCATCATCCCCATCATCCTGCCCCCCACACCCCCACTCCCCCTCCAATGAAAATTGTTTGTTCGGTCCATGCCTGAACATTGCTGAGGGCAAAAGAGCTAGCAGTAAATCAACTGGGACATGGCGTGTGCGTGGGTGGGGGGGAGGGGGGGGGGGGGAGTAGAAGGAGGGGCTGGGTGACCGGGTTCCCATCTCAATCCCGTGACCCGAGGTGAAAGAAACACGACTCACCAACAACACCAGAGCGATGGTCATGAGCACGGCACAGCTGCCCATCCCCGCCAGCCCGATCAGGTGCAGCGTTCTCCTGCCCGCGCGCTCCACCACGAACAGCTGGGGAGGCAAGGACCGCGTTAAGACAATCTCCCCCTCTCTCCTCATTGCCCCCCCCCCACCAACGTGTCCAGGCCGACAATCCCTTCCCCAAATAACACTGGACATTGCATTGCACCTCTTGAGCTGCCGCGTTCGTCTACAAGTGCACGGTCAAGAGCATTTGGGACGTTGTTTGGGCAAAAAGGCCCCTACAACCCATCTGATGTCCTCCCAGCAGAACACTCGCCTCATCCACTCAACCACCCGCCCTCCCATCACAGCGTCAAGCCCCACCCCACCCACCCACCATCCCCCACCCACCCACCACCCCCCGCCGCCCACCCATTGTCCCTTGAAGCGCCCCGACGCCCAACACGAAAGGCCTACAGTGCCCGGACGCGTTCCCTCTCACTCGGAGCCGAGACTCAACCTCTCAGGTAGAAGCGGTTACTCACCGAGACAACCGTGAAAGCGGTGTTGACGATGCCTGAGCCGATCGTGGCGTAAACGGGCTGCCCTACCCCGGCTTTGGCGAAAATATTTGTCGAATAGTAAAATATCTGCGGTGTGGAGTGGGGGGGGGGGGGGGGGAAGAGAGTGTGGGGGTGGGAGGAGAGAAAAAAAAAAGACATATCCATAAAACGTCAGGAAAAAAAAAGATCTTTGGAATAGTAAGGATTAGCCTTGTATCCTAGTTTTTGTCTGAGATCAGGAGTTCATTCCCCAGATGCCTTATGGTGCATTATTCCTGAGCCACGAGACCCTCCCTACCCCCACCCACTCACTAATGGGGGGGGGTTCTAACCTGCTAAATTGGGGGTTTGACTCGGAAACAGAGAGAGAGAGGGTCATTGATGAACCTGGGTTTCCACTTGCACGAGGTTGGGTTGTGGCCAAACTGTGATGGTTACCGAGAGCAGACGTGAACGTGTACCCGAGGGGGAGGGGGAAAAAAAAGGAGGGGTGGGGGTTCATGTGGAGTATAAACACCGGCACCCACTGGTCGGGCCGAATGGCCTCTTTCTGCGCTGTGTGGCTCTGTGCAACTGTACGTGAAACTCCTCCACTCCCCCCGCCAACCAATTGGCACATGCAAAATGGCCGACGGCTCATTCAGAAACGAAGCTACGGGCTAAACCATGATGCCTATGGTGGGGGGTGGGGGGGGGGAGAACAGGCTCATGCTCGAACCTGTCCACTGTTAAAGGTCGATCAACAGTTTTTCGACCATCGATGCAAGTGGGTGAAGCTACGTGAAACTCCTCCTCTCCCTCCTCCCACCCCCAGTATTTTGGCGCATGCAAGATGGCGGATGGATCATCGTGAAACGAGGCAGGACTCACAGCGTTGATGCCCGACAGCTGCTGGGATAACTGCAGGACCACAGCAATGAGTAGCGGCTGCCGGTAAAGGGGGGAGCGGAAGAGCTCGGGGATGGTGACCTTCTTCTCCCTCATCATCTGCCGGCTCTCCTCCTTCATCTCCTGCAGGTCGCTGCTCACGTCAGTTGTCCCCCGAAGCTTCTTCAGAACTAACGGAACAAGCGAGCGACGGCACACGTTAGAACTCAAACCAGGCGGGCGGGTGGGGTGGGGGGGGGGGAGGGAAGAAGGGTCCATTTACTGTATAAATCTCCCCTCTCCAAACCCCCACAGCTCCAATACAACAACCTTAGGCTTGGGGGCAATCGCTGCCATGTTTAAGATGGTGGACACTGTGGGGGGAGAGGAGGGAGGGTCTTGATTGGCAGGTGGAGCAGAGCGGAGTGACGTAATCTGTGGGGAGGAGCGCAGTGCCTTGCGGGGGAGGCTGACACGTTAAGTCCAGCGCACAAGGGGCCGATTGCGCGCAGTAGCGTCCCGCGAACCGCCGTGGATCGACGGTTTACTTTTCCATAGCCTCACCGCTCTTGGCCTTGTTCTCCTCGTTCCTGTTGATGAGGAGGAAGCGGGGGCTCTCCGGGCAGAAAGGGAAGGCGATGCACTGGACCAAGGACGGGATGAAGATGAAACCAAGCAACAGAGGCCAAAGGGATTCGTTTCCCATCAGCGACTCCAAGCCGAAGATCTGTCAACACACAAGAGACACGTTCGGAATTAATTCCACCTTCCCAGAGAGTTTGTTTTCCTTTTTAATATATAAAAAAAGCGAATTTTTTTGTAATCCAAACAATAATAACAATAGACATAATCACAATAATAAATAAATGAACACAACAATAATAATAAATGTAATAACACTAATAATAACTCAGCGATACACGGTCGAAATACAACAGTGAAAAGCTCTTCACAAAGTAATAATAATGATAATATATACTACAAAGTCAATCCACGGCTGTTTAGGGGACGCTCCTGTGCGCAATTGACTGCCATGTTTCGCCCAGAAAATATACACTTTGCAATATATTATGTGAAGCGCTTTGAGACGTCTCGAAGACGTGATAAGGCGCTGTATCAAATGCAAGGATTATTATTATTATTATTACAATAAACTGCAGTGACTGCTTGTTTTGTAATAATAATCATAATAACAACAGTGGAGCCCTGTAGCTCAGTGGTTAGAGCACTCGCTTTGCAAGCGAGACACTTGGGTTCAATTCCCAGCAGAGGGCGAAACCTCGGGCAAGTTTCCTTACTCCACACAGAGCCTAACAATAATCCCTCCAAAAAACAAATAATAAATTAAGTCATTTTCAATCCACGGCTGTTTGTGAGACGCCGCTGTGCGCAATTGGCCGCCGCGTTTCGCCCACAAATATACAGTCCATTCACTTTCCAGTCTACCCTGTGAAGCGCTTTGAGACGTCGAGAAGACATGAAAAGCGCTATGTCAAACGCGAGGATCATTATTATGTGATTGCATTTGATATAGCGCCTTATCACGGCGTCGAGACGTCTCAAAGCGCTTCATAGGATATTCGGGAAAGTGAATGGACTGTAGGTTATGTCGGAGGAAATAGCGGCAGCAGCCAATCCGCCCGCAGCAGCGTCCCACAAACAGTCCTGAAATGAAACCCAATGACCGATTGTATCCTGGGGGGTGGTGGTGGGGGGGGGGAGACTGTCAGTCAGGACACCGGGAAAGAGAGAGAGAGAGAGAGAGAGAGAGAAACTCCCTTCTCCAAACGCTGTGGAATCTTTAACGTCCACATGTGCAGGTCCAGACCCGAGAAGCTTTTGTCAGTGAATCAATCACATTTACGCATTTTGTTGTTATCAGTCAGACTTATAAGTGGAAACTCATCAGCGTTGTGTCTAATTATATCCCCCAGTGCCACAGTGCCATTTCCATCACAGGATCGGAAAGTATTACACGAGCACACAGAGACGTCAGCCAGACTCCGGGCTCAGAAGGTCGAGAGTCGAGCTCATCTACGTCACAGCCTGAAATCACAGAGTACGTTTCACATTCCGCAGCCACGCTCCAGGGGAGGAGGGACGAGGGGAGGGGGGGGGGAAAGGGGGGGAAAGGGGGGAGGTGCCGTCTTTCAAGACCAGACCTTATATCAAGTACCCGTCTCCCGGTTCAAGTGGATGTTAAAGATCTTGTGACACTCGCCCAAAAATAAATGGGGGGTGGGGGGGTTTCTCACAGAGTCCTCGGCCAACACTCCCAAACATTGCTCGGTTGTTTCGTGCGCGGTTTTGAGCGCGCGAGCGAGCGAGCGAACTCGTTGATTGCAAATTAAACTCTGCCTTCACCAGCAGTCAGTTAGCCTGACAGCTATTTGTTTGCTAGACAGTGATCTCAACAGCAAACTATGTGGTTTAAGCTGGTTAGACTCCAGCAGTTACCCCCCCCCCACCCCACCCCCCACAACGCACACTCTGGGGTCACCAAGCCTCGGCTCTTGCCAACCCACGCCTAATACACTCCGGAATTAGGTAAACAAGATGTGTCCCTCCAAAGAGAGAGAGAGAGAGAGAGAAGAGTGAGCGTATTCCATTCCAACAATCTCTCTCTGGGATTTTCCAGGTCCACAATGTGCACAGTCACTACACCGCTCAGTAAAGTCCTGCTTCGCTTTTCGAAGACTCTTTGCATCGTCTCGACGATGTGATGAACTGCGACGCGAGATGCGAGGGGGCGAGTGGGCGCGAAGCCTCACCTGCGCGATCAGAATCCCGACGACAATTCCCAGCTGGTGGAGAGTGCCCAACGCCCCCCGGAGGTTGGTGGGGGAGATCTCGCCCACGTACATGGGGACGAAGCCGGTGGTCAAACCGGAGTAGATGCCAATGAAGAAACGTCCCATTATCAGCATCTCGTAAGAGCCGGCAAGCTTGGAAAATCCCATCAGGGCCGACGCGATGAATGCCAGCAAGTTGTTCATCAGCATGGAGTTTTTCCTGGAGCAAGGTGGGACGTTATGTTATTAATTATTATTAATAATAATAATAATCCTTGCATTTGATATAGCAGCTCAAAGCGCTTCACAAAATATACCGGGCAAAACACCGCAGCCAGTTACGCATAGCGGTGTCCCACGAACAGCCGTGGATTGAGCGACCAAACTATTACTATTATTTTGGGGGGAGAAATATTACCCCCAGAAAGCGATCCACCAATCGACTAACAACCTTACTGCCGGGTCAGCAGAGGAGTGCATGTGGAGTAAGGAAACGTGGCTTAAGGTTTCGCCCTGTGCATCGAACCTGGGACCTCTCGCTTGCATGGGGAGTGCGCTAACCACTGCGCTACAGGAACCCCTCGGTGACTATCATAGCTTGTCACACCATCGAGGATTGAGCTGCGGATTCCGTGTTACCTTCCAAAGCGATTGACGAAGAGCCCGACAGAAAACGAGCCAAACATGCCCCCCACGGAGAAAATGGAGACGGACAGAGACCAGAGGCTGGTGAGGGTACCCTGGCTGATTGGTTCATTGTAGCGGTAAATCCAGGTATCGTTCAAAAAGTTCTCAATCACCTGGAAGAGAAAGAAAGCTCTTTTCAAAGAGCCGGCACAGGCACAATGGGCCGAATGGCCTCCTTCTGCGCTGGAAAAATTCTACGAATGTTACGCTCGCAGGTTTACGGAATATTTAAGGAACGCTGCAAGTTTTGCCCCCTTTGTTTTGCGTTTGTTTTGGGGGACGGGGTGGGCGGGATCGGGAGAGAGGAGGAAAAAGCAGGGAACGGGGGGGGGAACGTGACAAAAAAATGTTTGAAGTCTTATGGATTGATACCCAAAAAATGCAATAATGGAAAGAAAAGAAACGGATTGAAGTTGAAACGAATACGATATCACCACTAGGTGTCTCCACTCCCAATTGCTCCCCGTGTCTCGCACTTTGAACCCGTTTACACACTGCACCTCATCGGCCTCTCACTGAATGTCACTGAATGAGGTTGTTTCCAACCTTGTGCTCATGCCTGTGTCTGGCAAAGTGGGATCAAAAGCTCCCCCTAAAATCCTTTTAACCATCGGCAGACGGGCCTTCAGCCTCTTCTGGAACTCTTATCTCACTACCCCTTCGCCTCTTCCCTTGATTCCTTCAAGACGCATCTCAAAACCCTCCTACCACCCCCCCCCCCCCCCACACCCCACCTTGGGTCCAAATCCCTGACTGTCCAGCGCCTCGGAGCGTCCTCCCGACGTGGGAAGGCGCTGGGTAAAATGGCATTAGTTGTTGATGTTGCTGTCTTCTTGGCCCCGATCCTCCCCCTCCCGTTGGCTTCTCGAACGGAAACCACATTCTGCAACACTTGTGAATCCTCCTGTTTTATATCCCAAAGGCAAACATACAAAGTCCGCTTGCGACTGCAGTGTAACATCCACATTTAATTCCACCTCAACCAATTTCCGGGATCTCACCTTCTGAGGAGCGTTGATGACTCCGGTGTTGTACCCAAACTGCAGCGAACCGATCACAGCCACGCCAACCGCCGTGATTAAATTTCCCGTCATTTGCTGCAACGAGATCAGTGATTACAATCAATAATTAACGCCGCTTGCCATTCGAGCTCCTCGTCGCGTCGTTGAGAGACGTCTCAAAGCCCCTTCACGAGCCCTTTTGGTTTTTAACCGTAGTGACCGTGTGTTTTTGTCGCCCCTCGGGACGTCCTCCCGACACGAAAGGCGTTGAGACAAATGTAATTTGTTGTTGTTGTTGTTGTTGTAGCGAGCGAATGGTAATCTAAACCCCAGCGACGATGTTTTAATGAGCATTGCGCAATGTTAGGAGTGAAAGTTGTGAAAGTAATTACGTTGATAATTACGATCGGCACAAGGAACACATCGTGAATCAGCACAAATTTTATCCCACAGGATAACAAGCACTGGAAGCCGTCAAGTGTGTGTGTGGTGTGTGTGTGTCTGTTCTCTCTCCCCTCACCATCTCTCACATCCAATCCACAATGACCTTGTAAAGCAATTTGAGATGCTATCCTTCACAAGATGCACTGTAATAAAAGCATTTGATGTGGCACCTTTCACGTCAGGACATCTCAAAGTACTTCACGGGATTTTGACTACAAAGTGGAGTGACTGCGTGTTTCGTAGGCGAACGCCTACAAGTGTGACTTCTTTGCTCGCAAACCACGCAGTCACTCCACTTCACGTAAAACCCTTTCCATCTTTTGCTTTCGTGAATATGTGCCAAAGTCTCTTTTATCCTCGGAGGTCGGCGGTGGGGTGGGGGGGGGGGTGGGGGGAAATCCTTCAGCGCAAGTCTACGGTAAGTGGGTTTGGAGTGAGCGCGAGAGAGCGCGCGAGAGAGCGCGGGGGGTAAACAAGTATTGTGGGCAAAGAATGACCAGTCAGTGCTGTGAGTGAGTAACAGCTCCACAGAACAACTGTGGCATGTGACAACCTCCCACGTCGGCGGACGAGATCTCTCAGGAGCTCGACATCCGTCTTACTCCAGAAACACCCCTCGACTCTCCTCGCTGAAAGCTGGCAGTGTCGCATTGTTAGGTGAGCCGCATTGCACAACCTGCTCCTCCCTGTTCCCTGATCCCCGCTGTGATGAACATGGCGATTAGCTTACGGTGAGCTGCGTTTGCTCCTGTCACACACCGAGCATCAGTCTCTGCCGCCCGTCAGCTAAGCAGCTTTTGCTGTGCACTTTTTTTTCCACAAAGCCGTGGGCCCGGAGCGTTTAAACCCGTTGGCTTGGTTGACGGCCAGCCAGGTCATGGTGATGAAGCCTTGCTTAGTGAACCCAAGTAGCTGTGCAAATAAACTCAACACGCACCCTCGCCTCTCCATCAAACCCGCCAGCCCTTCCCCACACGCAGCCCTGATAAGCAAGGACAAAATGTAAAATAATTAGATACGGTGTAAATAAAGTAATAGGGATTTTAGGCTAATGACACCACCTGCTCGCGAGCGAGTCCATTAAAGGTGCGTTTAAATCTTCCTTTCACTCAAAATCTCTCCTAAGCTCGATCGGGAGTCCTTGGTTCAAAGCCCGGCTCAGCGGGTAATAATAATAATAATAATCCTTGCATTTGATATAGCGCTTTTCACGTCGGGAGGACGTCCCAAAGCGCTTCACAGAACACACTGTAAAGTGAATTGACTGTATATTTATGGGCGAACGCGGCAGCCAATTGCGCACAGCAATGTCCCACAAACAGTTGTAGATTGAAAATGACCAATTTATTATTGTTTTTGGTTTTGGAGGGATTATTATTAGGCTCTGTGTGGAGTAAGGAAACTTGCCCAAGGTTTCGCCCTCTGCCTGGGATTGAACTCAGGTCTCTCGCTTGCAAAGCGAGTGCTCTAACCACTGAGCTACAGGACTCCACAAGCGCTCTCTCATCGCCTCTGAATCCGAGGGTTGTGGGTTCGAGCACCCCCCCCGCCCCCGGACATAGTCTAGACTGACGCTCTGATGTGGTGCCGGGGTTAGGAGCGCTGCATCGTCCGAGGTACCGTCCTTCAGATGTGCCGTTAATCCGAGGTCCCATCTGCGCCTGTTCAGGTGGACCTTAGATGCCGTAGAGAAGTGAGTCTCTCTCTCGCTCTCTCCCCCGCTTGGTATTCTGACCAACAAATCCGCCCCCTCGGATAAAATCAGTTGTTCCCTCTGTGACTGTTTGCGAGATAATGCTGTGCGCAAATTGACTGCCACGTTCAAATAATCTAAAATCACATTTCACCGTATCATAAATCCTATTAAGCACTTTGAGTCACCCTTCCCTCATTCACAGCGCTGTATGATATACAAGGAACCAGATTATTAATTATTATATGCTTCTAAAATGCTCATTCGCCACATTAACAAATGACATATTAATATTTATGTTTAGAAACCGCGCCTAATCTATGGTTAATATTGCACTAATCACTCGCCCTCAGAGGTTTGTGTGTGTTATTATGAAGCCTGTAGTTTTTTTGGTTGCACAATCATTAACAAAGCTCGTGTTAGTCATCGCCCAAACATAGTGACTGTTTTTTTGCGCGCCGCTAGTTAAGCTAGAAAGTAAATGAACAATTTTATCGGGAGGGGAAGGAAGGAGAGAGAGAGAGAAATTATCAGCCAGGACAACTTCCTTCTCTTGCTCCAGAAAGCTTTGCCGGAACTTTAAACCTTAAGAAACAGATTTATAGATTGCCTTGCCTACTATTAACCTTGTATTTGATATAGTGCCTTATCTTCTACACAGTAAAGTGAATTAACTATGTCGTTTTATGGGCAAAACGCGGCAGCCAATTTGCGCACAGACAGCGTCCCACAAACAGGTGTGGATTGAGATAATAATGTCATATAATGATAATATGTGCATTTTAAAATATACAGACAATTCCCTTTACAGTAAATTCTATGAAGCGCTTTGAGACAACTCAAAGACACGTTAAGGCATCGAATGCAAGGATTATTACTATTAGTATTTCCCTAAACAGTCTTCCTTCGCGGAATCTTGCGCCAGATTTCTAGAACGTCTTGTAACTTTCTCTCCGTTTGCAGTCCACTCCCTCGCTCCCTGTTGGCTTCAATCTGTCCTGCTCTCAAACCCTAACGAAACCAACCTCTGCAGCCACTTCTGACTTGAAGATTCATACCGTCAAACCGTGATACTGATTCCAAGTTCAATGCTGCACAAACTCTACAGGGCTTTGGTTAGCGTCTATAACGCTGTCTTTTTCCTGCTCGCCATTCTGTTTGTCAAGCTCCTGATAACCAGTGTGTGTGGGTGTGGGTGTGTGTGTGTGTGTGTGTGTGTGTGTGTGTGTGTGATACAACAGCTTTCACCTCAAACCATCTCAAAGCGAGAGATTGCCGTTATAGTGCAGTTCAAGTATGTTTTTGGGGTTGACCACGGCCAATTTGCACACAGCAACTTCCCCGCAAACAGCCAGGAGGTGAATGGGCAACGGTTATCCAGTGGGATTGTTGGCCAGGGACACCAGCCCCAAAGGGTCTTTAACGTCCACAGATGGGAGGGAGCTCGGTTGAACGGCACCTCCAACATGAAGCCCACCCTCCATCACTGCACTCGAGGGTCCCGGGAGTGCCTTTATGTGAAAGGGAGCACTTTCAAACCCAAATTATTCGCATGAGACGTCAAACCGAGCTCCTAGCTGACGGATCTGGTGGATGTTAAAGGTTCCAGTTCGCTATAGGGGAAGAGAAGGGAATTTTTCTCTCCCAGTGTCCTGGCCAACATTCCCCCCCAAATAAAATTGGTCACTCGTTCCACCAATGGCTGTTTGTGGGAACACTGCCGTGTGCAATTGTGCTGCCGAATTCGTCTACTAACACAGTCACTGCATTTCACAGTAAATCCTGAGAAGCCTTTTGAGACGTCCTTCCCTCGTGAACAGACGCTACACCAAATGCAAGGATTATTCATATTAACTTCAACAATTTTTGTTTCAGAATTGGAACACTTCGCTCGCTGCCCGTTGCTTTTGCTCGGACAGTAGAGCTTTGGATTGCACTAAAGTCACACGTTACTTGAAAGCAGATTTGTTTTCTTTTAAAAGAAAGGGCAGCGTCGTGTCTCTATTTGGATTCAAAACAACTGTTGACGAACAGCCAGCAGTGGCTCAGACATTTTGGTTGTTGGAATATTTCAAAAGTGGCTCAAGTTTGGCTCAGGGAATATTAATATTAATTAATAAAAATGCCCATTCGCAGTTCGATTTACAGCTTGCAGTTAATGAGGCAGTCTAATTTGTGATAATTCTTCATAGGAAATGTGGAATCATCACATTCCCAATCACGCAGATGGAGAGAATTTCCACACGCGTCTGGAGTTATCTGATTTGCCCAACATTTCAGGATGTGCACAGTTTGGTAAAATTGCTGAATTCAGCCTTTGACGCTAATGTTCTCCGTTCTTTAGAAGCAGAACAGGAAAAAACACGAGCGCGGGCTCGGATGTGCCAAATTCTGGACGCTCGACAAACGCTACTTAAACAGAATAAACCCCGAGAACCCCCCCCCCCCACTGAACCCCCCCCTCCCCAGGAAGGGGGAGGGGGGGGGAGTTTCTGCCCGATAATGTGGTGAGCAATCAGTGATGCTTTCGAGACTCGCCAACTGCACAGTTGGCATTAAGAAATCCGTTAAGAAATCCTGTGAAATTAAATGTAAATTAAAATAAATGTACTTCGCAAAACTCCACTGCTATCCCCCCGTTTTCATATGAGACTGCAAATTATTCCACGCACCACACGCACACAACAATAATAATCCTTGCATTTGATACAGCGCCTTATCACGTCTTCCGAGACGTCTCAAAGCGCTTCACAGGATACACCGCAAAGTGAATCGACTGTACATTTTGTGGGCAAAAGATATACATTTATATATATATATATATTTATTTGCGCACAAAATACAAGTCACTACACTCTAGTGTAGCCTGTAAAGCGCTTCGGTTCGAAACCCTGACGTGAAAGGCGCGGGACAAAATGCAAGGGTTATTGTTATTCTAGTTAGCGTTGGTCAGTAGGTT